TGTTATTAGGGGGGTAATCAGTGTTATGGACTGCATTTATATAGTGCTTTTCTACTCCTACGAGTACTCAAAGTGCTTTACAATTTATGCCTCACATTCAACCATCCGTACACACATTCATACACCGGTGGTGGAGGCTGCCATGCAATGCACCAACCTGCACACCGGGAGCAATTTGGGGTTCAGTGTCTTGCTCAAGGACACTTTGATGGAGTCAGGAGAAACCAAGGCTTGAACCTGCAACCTTCCAGTTGCAGGACGATAGCACTACCACCTGTGCCACCATCTTCCCCAACATGCAGTGTTACCTGCAAGATCGCTATTTTTCTTTTTGCTGCAATTGTTTTCATTATTACTTTATTTAACTTGACATACCACATCTTTAAATTCTCATCCTTGCATCAGAATACACACTGAATATTGAACTGAAGCTTGACATAAAAAAAATGAAATCGCAAATCAAATCATAATTGCAATGTCCGTCAGAAAAATTGTGATTAGATATTTTCCCCAAATCGTGCAGCTCTAGTTCATACTGTCTGTTCTACACTGTGTCTATCTGTCTATGTTTTTTGTAAAATTCAATAAAAAATGTTTGATAAAAAAAATAAAAAATCTAAATCGTCCACCTGTCAGCTCAACCCTCTACCCACTACTCTAGTTAAAACCTGTCTTCCCTCCCTGGCCCCCCTCATTACCACCATTATCCACTCTTCCCTTAATACTGGAATTGTCCCTCCATCACTCAAAACTGCTTGTTACTCCAATTCTCCAACATATCACCCCAGTCCTTAAACAGCTTCACTGGTTGCCCATAAAAACTAGAATAGCATTCAAAATTCTGCTTCTCACTTTCAAATCCATTTACAATCTCACCCCTCCCTATCCATGTGGCCTGCTTCACATCACCACTCCCTCCCGCTCTCTCAGATCTTCATCTGCCACCCATCTTATTGTTCCCTCTGTCCGGCTCATCACCATGGGAAACAGAGCTTTCAGTCGCTCTGCTCCCTGACTCTGGAACTCACTTCTGCCCGTTATCAAAAACATTGACTCTTTTCCATCCATCCATTTTCCAACCCGCTTATCCTACTGGGTCGCGGGGGGTCTGGAGCCTATCCCGGAAGCAATGGGCATGAGGCAGGGAACAACCCTAGATGGGGGGCCAGCCCATTTCAGGGTATACTCACATACCATTCACTCACACATGCACACCTATGGGCAATTTAGTAACATTATGTTTTTGGACTGTGGGGGGAAACCAGAGAACCCGGAGGAAACCCCACAACGACACGGGGAGAACATGCAAAATCCACACACATGAAACCCAGGCGGAGACTCAAACCCAGGTCCCAGAGGTGTGAGGCAACAGTGCTAACCACTGCACCACCATGTCACCCCTCTTTTCCATTATTTAAGTCAAAATTCAAAACCCATCTGTTTAAATTGGCTTACTCGCTTTAACCCAATTATTGTCTAATTATGTACATAACTTTTTTAATTATTTTTTTTTTAATTGTTTGTCTTTTATGTGCTACGTAAGGTTACCTTGGGTTTTAGAAAGGCGCCCACAAATACAATGTATTATTATTATTATTATTATCCTCGTGGCCAGATGCTGGAGGCTACTGCAGAACTGCAGGGTCTACAGAAGTGTCCATTTTGTGAATTCTGACCACAGACTTGTTGTTGCTACTCTGAAAATTCAGAGGCTACCACCTACTAGGAAAATGAGGCTAGACTTGGTCAGACTCCAAGATCAAGCTGTTTCTGATGAGTTTGCACACAGTTTGTGTGAGGAACTTGCAGACTTGGGTGCGAGCGCTGACTCTAATGTGATGTGGGAGACCATCCGTGATAAGACCCTGAAGGTTTCTGAGGGTTATGTTGGAGTTGTAAGCTTTCCCAGAAAGAGGTGTTTCATCTCACAGGGCACCCTGGATATTATCGAGAGGAGTCACAGTGCTTGGTAGCAACTCCAGTCTGTACCAGGAACTGAGGAGGATGGCTGTGAGGGCTCGAAGGAGAGATAAGGAGGCTTTTGTTAGATGAACCTGTGAGCATGTGACACACCATCTGTGGCCTAGTGGCATACGTCTTGCTTACAGTAATCGAAGCATTAAGAACATCTGAATATGTTCCTCGGAGACTTGCAGTCAGGGCGGGTGATAGAACGGTCCTTACAGATGACACTGCAGTACTTTCAACAGGTGTTTAAAGCTGACCCCTCAACTAGGACATTGGACAACTCTGCATCCAGAGTTCTCGAGGCTGATCCTGTAAAGGGAAGGGTGATCGCCTGGATTGTGGCAACTACAGTGGGATAACACTGCTCTCAGTGCCAGGTAAGGTCCTTGCTAGGGTCATCCTTAACAGGATCCGTGATCACTTGCTCGCCTGTCAGTAACCGGAGCAGTTTGGTTTTACCCCATTGACCGCATCCTGCCGCTGAGGGTTCTCATCAAGCACAAGCACAAATATTGGCAGAGGTTCTTTGCATCCTTTGTCAATTTTTGTAAAGCATCTGACTCGGTGAGACTTCCCAAGATCTCCCCGAAGTTGCTGGACGTCATAGCCGACCTGTACACTGGTACTGCAAGTGCTGTGCAGAGTGGAGGGAGAACCTCCACGTTCTTCCCAGTTGATCCCGGGATTCAACACGAGTGTTGTTCAATGCTTGTATGGATTGGGTGTTGGGCAGGGTTGTAGGGTCCAGCTGTTGTGAGGCATCTGTTGGTGAAGAAAGATTTACTGATCTTGACTTTGCCAACAATGCTGTGATCTTCCTGGAGTCCTGATCGGGGTTCTCTGGAGACTGAGTGAAGAGTCTGAGTGTCTGGGATTGCGAATGTGCTGGATAAAGACCAAGATCCAGACCTTTAATGACTTCTTAGGCACGGCCATCAGTAGTGTGTCTGTCTGCGGGAAGAATGTCAACCTCGTTGAGAGATTTACTTACCTTGGCAGCGACATTCATGTCTCTGATGACTCTTCCTGTGAAGTCAGCAGATGGATTGGAAGGGCATAAGGAGTCATGAGGTCACTGGAAAGGGGTGTGTGCCGCTCCCGATATCTTTGCAAGAGGATGAAGGTCCAAGTCTTTAGAGTACTGGTGCTCCCTGTCTTGCTGTACAGCTGTGAGACATGGACACTATCCAGTGAGCTGAGACAAAGACTGGACTCCAGCAGTACCATGTCTCTTCGGAGAATCCTTGGGTACCACTGGTTTGACTTTGTGTCGTATGAGTGGTTGCTAGAGGAGTCCCGAATGAGGCACATTACCTGAATTGTGAGGGAGTGTCAGTTATGGCACTACAACCATGTGGCATGTTTCCCTGAGGGCAATCCAACTTGTAGGATCCTCACTGCTGAGGACCCAAGCGGCTGGAACAGGCCGAGGGGATGCTCACATTACACCTGGCTGGGGCACATGGATGGTCATTTCTGGAGTGTGGGACTGGACCGTGTCTGCCTGGGGGGGTCGCCAGCCAGGACTCCAAGGAGTTTCACCGTGTGGTGGGTGTGGCAACACACTGCATCAGTGCATGCTCCCCAACCAGACCTGATCTGACAAGTTTTGTTTGATAAATGTGAAAAGTTGTGTGCAGACATTTTGGCCATATATTTGTGCATACACAACTTTGATAAATGAAACCCCAGGACTCTGCTGAGTACCACTGGAACTTTGACTGGAACTGTGTTTTATGGACAGATGAAATGTAAATTCAGCTTTCTGGGAACAAACAACTCAAGGTAGGTATGGTGTAAAAAGAAGGATGACAATATTGAAAAGAACCTGTTTCGCATTGTTAAGTATGCTGGAAGTTCTGTAATGTTGTGGGGATGTTTTTCCTCCAAAGGCCCTGGGAACCTTGGTGGGGTACATGACATCATGGACTCCATGAACTACTAGAAAATTTTGAAATCTAAATCTGGCTGACTGCCAAGAAACTAAAACTGGGTCATTGCTGGATCTTCCAGCAGGATAATGATACAAAACATATGCCCAAATCAAAATGAAAATTGTTAAATTAACTCAATATTCAGCCATTGCCATCTCATTTAAAACCTATAGGGTAAGCTGAAGAGGAGAGGAGCTAGACCTGTGCATGATCTGGAGAGATTCAGTGATTAGGAATGGTCTTCAATTCCCTGCCCTGTATTCTCCAACCTTATAAGATGATGCAGGAGAAAACAGTGTTGTTTAATTGTTGAAAAGAGATTGCACAAAGTATTAGATGGAGGGGTGCCCATAATCATGGAACATGTGGTTAAAAATATTTTTTTCTTAATCTTTTTCAGAATAAATTATGGTTGGATTATTCTTATTTTTTCAGAGTATGATAAAACTGATTCATTAAAAGATTAATTTCTTATAACCCTTTTTATCCATCTTTACTAGGGGTGCTAATAATTGAGGAGGGGGCTGAGCATTTAAAGTAAACAACTTTAACCCGTAAGCCTTACACATATAGCCCTTTCACACCAAGCCGTCACCGGAGCCAGTTCAGGTGCCAATGCTCAGCCAGAGCTGGGCTGGAGCTCACCTTGGCCCATCAAAAATCATCTCACATTCATACTGCACTTGGTGCCAAAAGGGTAAAACGATGATGTCAGTGTGTGCGTGTTGCTGCGGGACAGGTACCGTTTCAGAAGTAAAGACAAAAATGGAGGACCATGCCACATAATATCAAAGCAAGACTTTTTTGAATTTACCAAAATGCTTACATTATTTTTTACCTTTATATGTTATTGTTCCTGGGTTTAACCTGACAGTTCATTCAAAATTTCTCAGTGTCCTGCATTCACTTTTAAAAGCGATATGTGCTGCAATCAATTGTTTCAACAGCGGAAATTCGTACTTTTGTATTTTCGTATTTTATGTGCATTTGCACTGCTATTACAAGAAATTATCATGCATTTTAACCTTTACATCGCAACTGAAGTACGAATTAGCATATAAAGGTTCAAATGCATAGTAATTTAAAATGAACATAAAATAACTAGGGGACACTGAAGAAACTACTGTGCATTATGCATTAATGGACTACTCTGATAGGGAGAGTGAAGACAAGAAAAGAACAAAACATTCTGGTAAACTTTTATTTTACAAATATACAAATAATCAAGAAATATGTAAATCTTTCATGTGGAATAAATAAATATAAAAAGTGTTGCTCCTATCCATTTTCATTCTCTTCACCTGTGGTAAAACAAGCACACAAAAGACATGATAGGTAAATTTCAATTAAATTACTGACATTTCACACAAGATAGTGTTTGTTGCAGCAATGAAAGTAAGCTGTACGTTATGTATCACTGGCTGGTACACCGAGGTCAAATTCTAATGGTAACTTATTAGTTATCCAAGTTGTTGTTACAAAAAACAGGTGGGCTGTACAAAAATGTTTAAAAATGAAGCAGCCCTAGTCACAGCACACGTCCAATAAACAAAACACAACCAAGTGTTTAACGATATGCTGTTTTATTAGACGGATCCTTGGAAGGCATCAGACATACACCAAACATAATTAAAGTTCATAGTCAAATTACAAGTAAACACAACAATAACAACTTACCCGATTCCTCCAAAGCGGTCGCAGAATTCAATGCTCCAGTCGCCTGGTTAGTAGAGCTGTTTCCAAACACGGAGTCCAAGATGTTCGTTTTTAGGGTGGCCAGCACCATTTTTATTTAGCTCTCTTTTCGATTTCCTGTATACATTTTCACTTTTATTTTGAGCTCAGGCCCAGATATATCGGCTCGGCATTGCTGGCATGAATACAATGTCGGGGCCGGAATTTAGACTCGGCATGGGCACCGGCTCTGGTGTAAAAGGGCTATTACATCTGTTAAGCAAGCTTGCCATGAGTCAGCAACTTCTTTAGTATGACATTTGCTCCATTTCAACTCATACAGCTGGTACTTACCATGTCCAGAGCCACTGTTATCTACATCACTGATACACAGGCACCCCCGGTCAAATTCCTCCCTTTCTCCCAGGACAGTGAACCACCACTCCCGAGCTTTAAAGAGAGACATCCCACCTTTTAGGAACAGAGGAAAAAATGTTTCAGTGAAAATGCATTTAAACCTCAGCATATTACCAGTATGAATTTACATTAATGATATTGACACGAATACATACAGTAAACTGGTTAAATTTGCAGACGACACTAAGGTGGGCGGGGTAGCAGATACTAATCTAGCAGCAGAGAGGCTTCAACGGGATCTGGATTTAATTAGCGAATGGGCTGATACTTGGCAGATGAAATTTAACACAGATAAATGTAAGGTAATCCATGCAGGGAGCAGAAATATACAGTA